CCCTCACAGGTTTCTGTTCTGATAGGTGCAGTAACCTTTTAATGGTTGTGTACCTTATTTTTAATTGTCTACTTGGACATTACTCATTAATAGGACTTTACACTGGTGTTTAAAAATTGACACAACAATGAGAGTTAGTTCAGAAAAAACAAATTTTCTTTATTAAATCACCTGCAGTAGTAACTTTTTCAGAAAAAGGACTGTAAGGCAATTATAATTACTTAAAGTCAGTGTATCTTCTTTACATTGATATGTGTTATCTTGCAGTTGAAGGTTGAAAGACATGTGCTTCAAAATTTGAAGTTTTCATACTTCAAGAATATAGGCTAAGTTTCATGTTATAGAGATTTCCTTTCATGGAAGATGAATAGCAAAAATTATATTCTGTAGCATTCGAGCATTCATTTAATGTAATTTTGCAACTAATAATAGAGTTGTTATAAGTGTTACAGGCTGCAATATTTAATTTATATAATTTGCCAAATATGCATTTTTTTTACCTCTGAACATAAGAAAATGTGTGTGAATTGTCGTCACAATTTTGTTGAAACCACAGACAGAGACCCAGAATTTTTAAAAACAATTGTATAAGTAGTAATCTCAAGTGCTCTTGGGATTTTTGGCTCATTTTCAGTGTATCAACACTATTAATGAGCTGGAAAGCCTGCAAGTATTAGTTTAGGTGGAATTTTTACCTTAATTTCCAAAAAGCAGAGAACTGTATGTTTAAGTTCATACATTAAAGTAATATTCAGAAGTTACCAAAAAGACAGATTGTTAATCTGTCTTTTTGGTAACTTCCTATTATTGATCAAGTTACATGTATAAACCATGTTATAGTTTTCTTATTTGTATTAAAAATAAGTTATAAGAATGCAAGTTTCATTTTTTTCTTTACAGATACAGATAAAATTTGTTTTATAGTTTCTACTTAATTTGATTGTTTGTTTGACATAAACTATTAGAAACTGTTAATTTGTGAAAACTAGTAATATTCAACACAAATATCTACAGATATCCTTTGCTTAATACACAAAATTAATTACATGGCAGATGTTTTAATTAACACAGCTTTACCAGCTGTCTTTAACTAACATAGATACCATATTTGATTAATACAATTTTGATACACAGTAACATTGAGGGATTAATTAACTGTATTAATCAAAGGATACCTGCATTTGTATTTATTAAATTTTGCAGAAACATATTTAAAACAGAAAATATATATTGTGCTTTAAACATCTTCACTTTTGTGAAATGTAAACTGTATTATAATTTTGATTTACAAGTCTCCAATTCTATTTTTGAGAACATTTAACAAGCAAATTTTTAAAATGGAAAATGGCTTTTGATTCTTAATGTCTAATCACTGTTTTTCATCTGGACTGTCTTCAAATTTGGATAACAAAACTTCAAACTTTGTACTAGTTCCTTTCTTATTGCCTTGAAGATGCAAGTTCCATATAATTCTGAAAAAAGCCAATAGCCAAAATTTTAATAGAAATTCTATGGCTTTGAAAATTTTGATAGGATTCTTTGTGCAAGGTATACAGAAATGATAATCTTATTTAGCAATTTAGTTTATTTTATTGCATCTGTTTGGTACTTTTGATTATTTTGCACTTATTATAGTGACACAGAAGTGTAAAACAGCAATTTCCAAATATGAAAAATATGAACAAGTACATAAAAAATTGATAAGCCGACATGGAGTCACCATGTGGGCTTATAAATTTTTTATGTACTTGTGCATATACAGGTAACCCCCGTATAACACGGTAGTTACGTTCCAAAAAAATTGCCATGTTATGCGAATCCGTGTTATACGAAAAGGAGGGTTAGGTTCCAAAAATTAAAAAACATGCTAGTATATTTTCATAATTAAGATAAATATCTTCATTAAAATTTTTTTAAGTGATACATATTAATATAAATTAAACAATGTTTTCTTCGTCATCACTAAAAACACTATTAATTAACCGAGAGCGTTTTCTTTTTGGCAAGTTATCCTTATCCTCTGAGCATTTTTCTGCATTATCTTCAGATCCATGCTTTACCTTTTGCAAAATGTATGTAATTTTAGATTGCTTGCTTCTAGTTAAAAGGTCTTTATAAATTTCCTTATATGGTGCTAAGCACTTATGAAGAATAAAGCAAGTATGGAATAAGGGAAAAACATTCGGCAACATCAGAAGCAGAAGCGTCGCAATCTGGCAACATTGAAACAAGTTTCGAGAAGGACCACGTGTATCGACAGAAGGCGAGAAGAGAAAATTTACATACTTAAGTACTAATAGTTCACAAAAATAATAATTTTCGTGAACTATTATTACTTAAGTATGTAAAAATTTCTTACATTTCCTGTTGTACGAGAGTTTCACCCAATTCTCGAACCATGTCAGAGTGAATCCGCGCTATAAAAGTACCGTGTTATACAGGGGATGGTACCAATTCTCGAACCGTGTTAGAGTGAATCCGTGTTATAGAAGTGCCGTGTTATACGGGGGTTACCTGTACTTTTTCATAAACATTATTCCTCTGCTTAAAATAAATCTTTAAAAATACGTTTGTTTCTACAAATAGTTAAGAAGTACCAGACAATAAAGATTAAATAAGTACGAGATTGTTCAAAATACCAGTATTCAGATTAGAAGATTTGTAAAAATACTCTGTATAGACAACTCTCAATTGATTGTCAATCATAATCAACACAAAAAAAGGGGTTAGTAGTTTTGTGGGTTTAGTAGGGGTTAGTAGATTCATTAATAATACCATTTTAATACATGAAAAAAACAAATTATCCAAAAACAATTGTGAAAAAAAAAGAAAATATGTTGCAGAATTTTTGAAATGTGGATTCACATCATAGGAAATTAATGGCAAGAATCTGTCATTTAGCAAAACTTTCACAGGTTTCAAGTTCAAGTTCTTAAAAATATTTGGAAACAAATGATCTAATGAATATAAAGCTAATATATTTTTGGAAAGGAAACAGTCCAACTCTCTGGAAAAATTTCTTATTAACATGAAGTATGAAATGAAACAACCTACCAGTGGCAAAGTGGATAAAAATCACTGAATACTGATAGCTGTTTGTACATTTGCACCTGACCAATAGGCTGACCACATAAAATTTTCTGGTTTTCTTCACATGTTCATCACCAGTATACAAAGTATAATACTAAATATATAATATATATATAAATCAGTAAATATATATATATATAACACCAGTATAACACCAAATAGTGGCCGGTTTTTCATAGAGGGTTCTTCTGGGAGGCATTCTTTCTTGGTAGATTGCCCATGTGCTATATTGCCATATCCCATTAAATCAACCAATCTCGAAATGAAACACTTAAAGCTTGATAATTGGAGGCCTTATCAAAAAATGCTGAACATAGCAGACATGCACAATGTCCTCAGAAAACTAATTGTCCCCACAAAAAGTGGACAGTGGAATAGCTCTGGAATTGTAATACAGTCATAACTTTTCTATGGATACTTCAGATTTAGCTTTCTTTCTCTACCTGTTGCAGTTCAAGCTTACTTATAATAGCCCCCAAGTAGATTTATAATCTATGGATTTTTTTTTTTAGGAAGATTTCAGAAAAATGTTTTTCATTTTTAACTTTTTCTACCCCTTGGGCATAAACGGGACTTTTTATAGGCCTATTGTGTTTGGAGTGACTGGGGCCTGACTATTCATGAAAAATTCCTGGGGAGTTGCTTCTCAAGATTTGATCCCAGATCCCTAGAACAGTAAGCCAATGTCTCAACTGCTATATCTATGTTTCCCAACTTGTGTACCGCAAGTGTGTTTTCAGATGCATTGCAGAAACGTTTAAATATTTTCTAGAATTTTGAATAAGTTCTTTTTTAAATATCATTTATCTTTCTTTTTTTTAAACTGCCAGCAGATCAAAGGAAAGAGGAGGTATTAACTAAATTATGGGATTGTTGGAAAATTTGCAGCATCAGCATACTACTCACAAAAGTTGCATGCATCTGTGCCTAAGCTAGCATACCAACTCCTTGGAACTTCTGTAAGTCTTGCAGCTTAAAGACTGATACTAACTCTGCGCAAAGATTCAAATAGTCTTTTTATTTTTATAGTATATTTGTAAAATTGTGGAATCCTTTTCAGTTTGGCATGTTTTAATTTTTTGCAATTATTTTGTTAGTTTTCAGGATTGCATTATGTTGCTGGAATGGAGGATGGTATAACTTTCTATACAGGAAAGCATATAATTCAGTTTACTTGCTATGATTAAATTTATTGGACTGCAATTTGAGAAAAGTAGATCTATAAATTTCCATCTTAGTCTGTCTGTAATCTCGAGAACAGTTAGATAGATGAAAGATGAGATCAGATATGGAGGAAGGCTTTGGGGCAGGAGGCCCCAATTAACTATATATGAACTTCTTAAGCGAACTGGAAGTCATGTTATTTCAATTCAAAAATTTTCCCTGGGGTTTTAGATGACCTGCATGACTATTGTTATCAGGACAAGTATGATGTACAGTATATAGGCAAGACACCACTAATTTGAGGTGGAGAACATATATTTTAAATAAATTAAAAACATGATTGAAAATTGCAGCTCGGCATTGTGACCATGTCACAATAAAAAATTGCTTGTTAGTTATAAGAAATGAAAATATCTATTCTTATTAAATATATAATATGGAGAGTAAATTATGCAATTATGCTATTTTTATAAAATAAAGCATAAAATAGTCATTGCATTCTTTAAGGTCAGTAATGATTTATAGAATTGAAGTATGCAATAGAGTGCTTATGCTTAAGTAAACAGATTGAAAGTATTTTGGAGAAATTTTGTTTTTCATATTGCACCAATGGGATCTTTAACATTTTCTTTAAAATAGTATATGAGATATTTAATATAATACAATCAAAATATTTGTATTTTTAACATTACAAAATAAAGAGACAATTTCTTTATATTTCAAAATTTTATTAAAGTGAACAAAATCTAAATTTTTGAATTTAATTTTTCTTAATGAACTTTTAACAAATAACAAAGATGAATTAACTCTTTACAATTTCATTATTTCTTGTATTAAATCAACATAATACACTGTAATATCTAAAACCAAGTAAAAAACCTTTTCAAATGATTTCTGTGGAAATCATCATTCTACAGAATTATTTACAGAGAACATAATTAAGAAAATATAAAAATTTTTTCCACTTAAATAATTAAACTGTATTAGCTACAATGATAATCGTTCATATAGACTGGTTAAATACGTGCGTATCGATTTGAAATTTTATGAAAATCAACCGGATAATTTATATGGTATAATAAGATATTTCGAAAACGATTTCACTTGTTCGATCCCTCTCACTTCATGATCTAAAAGAGGAAGTTTGGTGATATGAAAATCTTCGTAAAGATCATCGATCTGACCGAGATACTTCGCCTGCAGCCTGCATCTGGCCATGCACATCTTGCACGGTTTTCCGCCCACCTGTGGGAACAGTAACTGATTCACCACAATGTTGTGTGTGTCGATTCCGCACTTGGTGAGTTCCTGGACCAGTCTCTCAGTCTCATACAGGGACAGAAACTCCGCTATGCATACGCAGACGAACGTCGTCTGGTCTGGATTACGAAACTGTTCGTTGACCTGCCGGATAACCGGAAGCATCTCCTCTACTTTGGACGACATCAGTTCGGCTGTGACGTCCTGAAGGCCGAGCATGGAGCCGATCTGGGCGATGAAGGGATTCAGCTGCGCCTTCAGCCTCAGCAACTTACCCAGGCCCTTCTCCACCACCTGCGGAAAGGTCAGGAGACGGAGCGTGTGACCAGTGGGAGCAGTGTCGAAGATGACGACAGAAAAATTCATGCTCTTGACCAGCTTCATGACCTCTGCATAACTCATGGCCTCGTCAATGCCAGGGAAAGCACCTAAAATTTCTTGCATCATGTTTTTGCTCATTCTCATGGGATCTGATTCGTCAAAATATTCCTCGGGTAATTCGTTCATGCCGAGATTCGGATCGATTTCCATTGCATATAAATTAGTGAAACCACTAACCAAGGTGGGGACTTTAGAGAATTTTTGATCAAAGGCATCTGATATGTTGTGTGCTGGATCGGTGGAGATGATCAATACACTTTCCCTCACCTTGGACAGTTGTATGGCCAAGCTGCAGCTACACGTTGTCTTTCCCACTCCACCTTTACCCCCCACGAACACCCATTTTAACGACGTTTGATCGATAATGTTTTTTAAAGAAGGTTCCAGAGGTTGCATATCATCGACGCGACTGCTATTCATTCTGCACACTAACGATTCACACACAACCACGTCATAGCAATGGAGACTAAATGGACGGAGCAACCTAGCGGCGTAAAATAATAGCCAATAAATCGCCAAAAATTAATTTAAAAAAATTATTATTTAACGTAAAAATTTATGCATTTTATTTTTATTTGCTTTTATCCCTTAACAAATATAAATCAAAATATTTCTACGCATTTCATTTTTATAAAAATGGTATTAAATTTTAAATTATGTATCCTTCAAGCAGCCAAATTTCCTTAATTAAACACTAACGATAATTAAACAAAATATAAATTTTAGTTTTTTTATGGACGGCCGGATGGATGAGGAGGCTATAAGGATCCTCGGACATTTTCGTTTGCGGTTGATTATATATGAAAATTTGATGCGATATTTCCAATCTTCTAAAAAGAAGACACGCGTACGGAATCAATAATGCGTATCAATAATGGCTGAAATAATGACATTTTCCAATCCTTCCTCTTTCGGGTCTCGAGCTCGAAGACGGAAATTATGACAATGAATAATTTTATTTACGAAAAACAAAGATATTTCTTTAGTAAACGTTGCCATTCAATTACCGAAGATAAATTATAAGAATTTTAATCGAAAGAAAAAAAAGAGCGAACTTCGAACAAAAGAATTTGAATCGAATTATAAATAATTTAAATCATAATTGTTTAAATTTTATATAATAGTATTTATATAGAATTATAACATTATTTAATACAGAATATATTTAAAAAAAAGTAAATAAATGAAAAATATTATATTTGTAGAGGGCGTTTTCATAACATGTGATTTGTAAACGGAAGCGAAAAGATGGAAATCAAGGAGAGAGATCATCTCCTGGCTCTTAAAGGTTAGAATAGAATTTGTTACATTCATACTTTGTTCTGTTAATAATTGCGTTACGCTTATAATCCGTTTAGAAGTAGTGGGACGTGGATTCTACAAGTTTTACGAAGATATTCGTTTCTTAATGTGAAAAACATCAATAATGATTCGAGAATTAAAAACAATAAACTTACATTATTATTGACGTTGGAATCTTTTGGTCTGCCTTCGTTTTTTGAGTTTGTGTTTACGGTAGCAGTATCGTGATTACTTTGACAAGCCGAATAATACATTTCTCTGATAATACTGGAAATTAAAATATATTACTGTGCTTACAGTGGAAAATTCAGCATTTCTTGATTGAGTTTAAGTGTTTACCGTCATTATGATAGTCAAAAAAAAATTTAAATATTGTAATCTGAAATAAGTTTTTCCATTTTGCTGATAAATTATATTATATCGAACAGTCTAATTTTTCTGCTAGAAATCTAGTGCAAGTGGGATTGATGACTAAGTTTCTAGTGTTGTGGGTGATTGGAGTGTTGGTGTACCGTTCTGGTGCTCCTGGAAATGAATACGGTCTGGTCATAAAACCCTGTAAAGTTTTTGGAGAGCGGTTCATCTGGGATGCGTCATGCCCCTTCCCTTTCCCTTGTGCTGCCCCGTCGTCGGGTGACCGAATTTGTGGTGGGCTCCACGTAATGATCTTCGTGTCTGCCAAGTGCAAGTGGTTGAAGAAAATTGTGTGTTATGCTGTTTGGACATTGAATGTGACACATGGTGATAGTTTTCTTTGATGACTACGTGGATAACATGTTCTATAAATAAGTAACTAATTAATAACTATATTTTCATTTCTTATAGTGATGTATCAAACAAAAGGTATTTATATTTTGTTGTAACTTAATCAGATTCTTGAAAATTAACAAAATGTAACATTAGTCTATGATGTTACTGTTGTTGAATTTTTAAAACAGTTTAATGTTTCTCAATTTTTGATATTGATTTCTGTGTGTTTATAGTCTTAACAGATTTGGGGAGACTATCCACATTTTGACAAGATAATTCAATCTTTTTTCTCTTATAGAATTTTTGCAGAGAAATTTTCATATATTGTCAGGATGATCAGCTTGTGGATGCTTTTCATGTGATAGCTAGGTGTACTAATTTAGAAAAAAATCGAGAAAGTGTTTTTGGTATCTCTATTATTCCGTTTGAGAATTTTTTGGACCTTATTGTGATCTTTTGTACTGAGTGTGACATACATTTTTGTTTTTGCATATTGGAATATCTGATTTTGCCCAAAGGTGGCATTTGTTTTTGTCCTTTAAAAGTGTGTTTGTGACTAAGAAGTTTTGGGAGACTATCCACATTTTGACAAGATAACTCAATCTTTTTTTCTCTTATAGGTGGGTGTAATTAATTTTTGTTCATAATGTTGTTTTTTGTTTGGATAGTTCTCCCCATAATTTTTTTTTGTTTCTTTTATATTTGGATATTTAGTTTAAATATATTTTTTTAGTATCAATTATAATCTTTGTATAATTTGTTTTATTTATGTATATTTCCTTCTACCTGTATAAAAACCTTTCAAATCTCCAGTGATACTCGTTTAAACAAACGTTTTTATACAGGTAGAAGGAAGTATATTACCTCCAGTATTTGATAGGAAGTTCAGTTGTTATTTATGTATATGTTAATTTTCTCTGTAATAATAACTTATGGATTGTAATATTTTTTTGGTTTGTAATGTATGTGTAATGATTTTCGTATTTCCCACATCATGGGTTCTTAAACCCAGTATGTCTAAATAAATAAATAAACAAACAGATTTACTCCTCTCCACTATCCATCTGTATATAAAAGAAATATATATTCTTGATAAGTAAAACAGAGAACTTGATAATATCATAATTAGTAAATACTGTAGATATTTTATATGAATAACACATATAAAAGATTATTTTTATATAATTTCTATTGGTAACTGTATAGATTGTTTCAATGTAATATATTCACTGAGTAATTATAATGAACCAATGTAATGTAAAAGAAAAAGTAAAAGAAATCTTTTGATTGTAAGTTTGGAGATAAAATTACAACTGTTACTACAATTTTAAATAAAAATTTGTAATTTATAGAACAATAATCCAATATTATAAATATTTAGTCTAATTTATGTGTAAAGCAAATAACCATTGAAGATATCTGAGGCAGTATAAAATTATTAAATGTGATCATCTGTGCTTGAACTCAAGAAGCAAATATAATGTAGCTGTTTCCATTTTATTTAAGTCTTTCCAAATAAATTTGTTATTTAAGGATTAGTGAAAATTATATTGATTTCTAATATTAAAGTTATTCCGTAAGGCAATATTAATATAATTTAAAAAACTGTTGGAAGCCTATTAACTAGTTTTAATATATCTTAACACATGAGTATTTTCATTATAATCAAATGAAAATTTATAGTTTATTTAGACTGCTCTTAAATTTTCATTCACATATTAACTAGTATAATTCAAATATAAACATCTATTAAACTGATTTTTAGATTAATGCCAAATAATTGCTGGATTATATCATGCTATAATAATCATGTTATAATATTTAATAATTTAATTATTAAATATTATAACATGAGGAAATCTGGCAATCGTTTGACATTAGTATAATTCTGTAAAGATTATGATTTTCTGTAAAATCTTTGGAAATTATTTGTTTAAAATTAAAATTATATGCATGTTAATGAAAATAAATATTCACTTTTCACTACAAACATATTTATTGACAATGTTAGTAAATTGTTTTAAATTAAAATGCATGTTTTTTATATACATTAACTTACAGTATAGATATATATTGCTTATTTAATTATAGTTTTTAATAAATAACATTTTATTTTGTCAGTGATGCGGTTAACACGCCCTTCACTTTTTTCCACATTATTTTTGACATGTGACACAAAAGATATACCATATGAAGCATTCCAAAAAGAACTCTTAAATGACATAGGAGCTCCAACAAATTTGAGCATGTATAACACAGGAAATCTGTTGATGTTGCCTCAAAGTTTTGGGTTTGTATATTTGATTTTATTATTAATTTAACTAAATATTTTTTTATAAGTGTTAAAAATGTCATATAAATGAAAATGAAGGTTTATCTAACTTTTCACATTTATTTATTTTCCATTATCTTATTAATAGGAAAAAAAATAATTTATAAATTTTATTTTTTAATATATGTTTCAATGATTGTGGAATAAATCATTTGATAGTATAAGCCATGAACTGAAATTTCAAATATTATGTATTTGAACTCTTGTTTCATAATCACAAATCATTTTTTAACAGATCCAGTAATGAGTTACATAACTTTGCTGGCAAAAAATATTTATGTTTAAGAAACACTAAGACATATTAGCACAAAATTAAAATTGTATGTGATGCCATCTATTATGAGATTTTATTAAAAATAACTTTTATATTATAAATTATTATAAAAAGGCATTATTAATTTTGATAGTAGAAATGTTTTTTAAATATTAAATGCTGGTAGCAAGTAAAATTTTCATTAAGTCCGATCCCACTTGATATATGATATGTGATCTTTTCTATCTCCCTACATCCTGGACCTTTAACCACCAAACTTTATGAGCATCAGTGCCACTTATATAAGTGTAACATGCTAAATTTTGTTTCTTAATCTGTATCCCATCCTGAGATTAAATGAAATACAGTCTATTCAAAATAATAAACACACCCAACTTTTTTCAATAACAAAAAACATTAACAATAGTAATGTATTTATTATATTAGTATGTTGTTTACAACATCAATTTAAACATTTTTAGAGCTATCTGACAATTACAAAAAAATTATCAGATTTTCAATTTTTGATTGTTTCAAAAATATAACATAAAAAAATGTACATAAAAAGTACAAAAGTACATAAAAAAATGATTTGTGATGTCTCAATATTTTGTAGGTCCACTATTTGATAGAATATTTGAATTAATTAATTAAATCAAGCATACATTTTACTAATTTTTGAAGTTTTTGTTTAATATTTTCCCAATAATCCATGATAGCTAATTTCGGTTTGTTTATAGTGTTATAATAGCAAGGTTGAGGCCAAAGTTTTAAACGCAAAAATATGTATGTCGGATGTTCAGCGCCACTTTCCTGTAAGCCTAGAAGTTTGACAATGGTGTTTGAATAGTCAGTGGAATCATGCTCAACATTCCAAACACCATTGTCAAACTCCTAGGCTTACAGGAAAGCAGAGCTGAACGTCCAATGTACAAGATGTCACGTTTAAAACTTCAGCCTCAACCTCGCTAATGTCTGTTCTTGCCATAAACAAGACGACTCATAATGCCCCAAACATTCTCTATCTGGTTTATATCGGGGCTCCGTAATGGTCAATCAATTACATTAATTTTTTTCAACAAACCAATTATTAGTTGACTTTAATCCATGAATGGCAGCATTATCCTGTTGGAATTGCCAGTTTTCTCCCCCAATAAGTGATTCAAAAGTATTTAAATTTTGATACAACATTTCTTGATACTTTTCTGAATTCATTCTACCTCCTATAAATACAATGTCTGTTTTACTCCCCCATCCAAATCTTGCCCACACCATCACAGAGCCCCCACCTTGCTGTCTGCTCATTCTGGCTTCTTCATTCTTCCTCAAATCATGCCAGTAGTAACTATAGCTGTCAGGTCCATCCAAATTCCATTTTTTTTCATCTAAAAGACTATTTGTTTCCACTCTTCTTTCTATGTCATCTTGTCTTTGGCCCACTTTAATCTAGCTGTTTTGTGCAATTGTGTTAATTTCGGTTGGCAGCCATTTTTGTAAATTTGGCATTATTATGATTATGCATACATCTCTATACAGCTGCTGGTGAAACTGCAATTGGCAATGTTGATGCTGATTCTCCGAAAGACTACTTGTTAACCGTCAGTAGCCAAAAAAACCTTTCTTTCATTTCTAGGTGTAAGGCTTTCCACATTGCTTAATTCTGCCATAATTTTCACCCTGTGTTAACACATTTCTCATAGCACGTGTAGATCAATTTACAGCCGCTGAAATTTGTCTTAGAGATTGTCCTGCTCTTTTAGTTGGTAAATTTCACGTATTTCCAACTCTGTTAGTGTTGTTCCATGAGGCATTATTTTAAATCACAAAAAACTGTTTAAAATTGTTGTCACATTTGTAATAATGAATGATACTACCCACTGATGACAACTACTTAAACTAATAATTATTAAAAAAAAAGTATCATACTAATTTTATGCACCAGTGTTTATACTTTTAAAACAATCAAAAATTGAAAATTTGTGATAATTTTTTTTGTAATTGTCAGATAGCTGTAAAACTTTCAGAAAATGTTTAAATTGATGTTGTAAACAACATACTAATATAATAAATACATTAATATTGTTAATGTTTTTGTTATTGAAAAAAGTTGGGTGTGTTTATAATTTTGAAATGGACTATAGATGAAAACACATATCCATGGATTTTTTTTCTCTTGTTTTTTTTTGTTTTGGTTGATTTTTTTTGGATTCAGAGAGTCTTAAAACAGGATTTGTAAAAACTCAGAGGGTCAAATTTGACACATTTTCAATTACTTTTCTATGTTATATTATAACAACTGAGAAAGTAAATGTAGTTTTTACAAGAAACTGTATAATATATTTTTATGCTTAATTTTGGTATGCAAATCATACTTAAGGAATTGATCAAACAGGTCATCATTGTGCAGGTGTGACAAAGCATAAGCATACTTTGTGAATAGCTCTGTCCAAAGTGATACTTTTAAAAATATAATATTCACAAAAATGGATGGAAGTAAGTTTTCTACAGTATTAAGAGTATTGTATTCGGTGAGATATTTGAAAAGTGATGTATAAAAATTATAAATGGATTTAAAATTAAAAAATCTGAATTTTAAATAAATTTATTTCTCAATTTTTGAAAATATTTTCAAAAATCTTTATTCCTTTCACAAGTGAATTTTGCAAAGTTAAGAAAGAAGAGATGAATACCATTTATGAAAATATTTAAAGATTTTATTTGATACTAATGCAATTCGAGATTCTAATGATCATGATGCCCAACCAATTGGCAAGTTGTATTCTGATCAAACTAAATATTTACTGGTTATATACTGGTTCTTGCTAGCATTTAAATAATAAATAATTTATTCTAGATTATTAAATTATTAAATGAAAAATAATTTTAAATGAATAATTATAGAAACAAATTTTATATTATCATTCAGTTTATTTCATATCTGTATGAGGTTCAGGTGATATTAATAAGGCATCTGTATTCTTAAAGGTGTATAAGCATGCACTCATTATATTGAGGATTAATGTATGTACAGGGCTATATTGTAGTCATTGTTTTTGTGTAAACTTGAAAATAAAAATTCAAATAATAATATTTTTTTTAACAAACTATAACTTGGTTTTTTAATTATATTTGTTGTAATACAGTTTATAAGATTTGGTTCTTAGATAAAAAATATAATAATAGTAGTAATAAAATATTTTAAACATTTCATTTTGTATATAAACTCTAGATTTAATTTCAGACTTGACTATTGTGTTCTTATTTAATATCAATAATACATTAAATATATATTTGATAATTTATAGTAGCCTTTATTGATTTAATATATTTTTTTATTAGTTATATCAAAACTTGATAGAAATGTTCATATATTGTACATTTTCTATTTCAGGAATATTTATCTCGGAGAAATATTTTCTTGTTACATGAGCGTTCATAATGACAGTAATATGCCTGTTTGTGATGTTTCGGTAAAAGTAAGTAGTGCAATACATAAAAAATTTTTTAAATTTAGAAATTATAAATTAATTTCAATTCAGTATCAAACTTTATGGATTTAATTGAATATTTTAATGCTTTGAAAAAGTATAAAGAAACTGAAAGTAGAAAAACCATTAAATAAAACATACACCTTAACATACTTCACCACAGTTTAATAACCAAGAATGTTTTCAGTTTTGATTGTTAAATTTTGTTGGGGTTTTTATTTTATTTTACTTAATTCTCCAGCTATTTTTTTATTTTATTGAAAGACCATTATTCTTTTATACTTTGAAAACTATAAAGAAATACTGTGGAATTTATCCTTCTAAACATTTTGTTATTTTTTTATCTAAGGTGCAAGAGTAAGATGGTATTTGAGATACTGTATGTGTGGAGTGAGGGGAACATTGTTGGGCTCCTTTTGGTCAGTGGTATCTCTCTCCAGTTCAGCAAGTTTCCTATACACTTTGGTATAAGAATAGGATTTGGAGATTTATATTTAATTGATCAGTTTAGAACTAAATTAATTTATTTATATGAAATAAGCAAAAATAAAGATGTAAGTAACACATACAAAATTTAAGTTCTCTAAAAGAATAATATGCATAAAATTGAAATCAGTTTGTAATAAGTACAAAAGAAATATCTTAATACTAGCAGGTGGGCCCGGCGTTGCTCGGGCAAAAGTAACGATAACTAAGATAAAGATTATTACGTTACAGTCAACCTTACCCGTTTTCACAGAATGCAAGAATTGGGTCCCCTTGTTTCCAGACTAATTAGAGAACTTTTAGATGGTTTTAAAAATATGTTCGATTTCCTGCAAAAACGAAAGAACTGCATCTGCGCCTGTAAATCTTGCACGTCGCTTTCTCTTAACAATTCCATTGTTACGTAACATTTCCATTGTTACTTAAAACTTCCATTGTTACCTAACCCCGCCATTGTTACTTAACACTTCCATTGTTGATGGAAGTGTTAAGCCTTAATCCTGTCTTTCTCCCCCTGGAGGAATTTCGAAAAATTCCTTCTTAGTGTGCGTTCTCGTGACGTACCCTAACTGTGTACCAAATTTCAACTTTCAACTCCTAACCGTTTGGGCTCTGTGCTGATTATTATTATTATCAACTCGTCTCGATTATATATATATAGATACTAAAACTTGAAGCTAAAGATTTGCTGCATCCAAGACAAATACTTTTAAGAATTTCTGAAGAGAGATGATCTTCTTCAGACATGCATATAAAATGACCAGAAGAGTGCGACTGACTAAAAATAGCACTAGAACAGGCTTTGTTTTAATTTTAATTTTTAAGGACCAATGATCAATTGAAACTAGGCTGAAGTGTCTGAATGAATGATTCTTTGTTCAATCTGACCTTCTCCAAAATCTTAGATTCAATTTTACATATTTTTATGTTTCATTCACCTACTATCTCTTGTTTTTTTTTGTTTTGGTTGATTTTTTTTGGATTCAGAGAGTCTTAAAACAGGATTTGTAAAAACTCAGAGGGTCAAATTTGACACATTTTCAATTACTTTTCTATGTTATATTATAACAACTGAGAAAGTAAATGTAGTTTTTACAAGAAACTGTATAATATATTTTTATGCTTAATTTTGGTATGCAAATCATACTTAAGGAATTGATCAAACAGGTCATCATTGTGCAGGTGTGACAAAGCATAAGCATACTTTGTGAATAGCTCTGTCCAAAGTGATACTTTTAAAAATATAATATTCACAAAAATGGATGGAAGTAAGTTTTCTACAGTATTAAGAGTATTGTATTCGGTGAGATATTTGAAAAGTGATGTATAAAAATTATAAATGGATTTAAAATTAAAAAATCTGAATTTTAAATAAATTTATTTCTCAATTTTTGAAAATATTTTCAAAAATCTTTATTCCTTTCACAAGTGAATTTTGCAAAGTTAAGAAAGAAGAGATGAATACCATTTATGAAAATATTTAAAGATTTTATTTGATACTAATGCAATTCGAGATTCTAATGATCATGATGCCCAACCAATTGGCAAGTTGTATTCTGATCAAACTAAATATTTACTGGTTATATACTGGTTCTTGCTAGCATTTAAATAATAAATAATTTATTCTAGATTATTAAATTATTAAATGAAAAATAATTTTAAATGAATAATTATAGAAACAAATTTTATATTATCATTCAGTTTATTTCATATCTGTATGAGGTTCAGGTGATATTAATAAGGCATCTGTATTCTTAAAGGTGTATAAGCATGCACTCATTATATTGAGGATTAATGTATGTACAGGGCTATATTGTAGTCATTGTTTTTGTGTAAACTTGAAAATAAAAATTCAAATAATAATATTTTTTTTAACAAACTATAACTTGGTTTTTTAATTATATTTGTTGTAATACAGTTTATAAGATTTGGTTCTTAGATAAAAAATATAATAATAGTAGTAATAAAATATTTTAAACATTTCATTTTGTATATAAACTCTAGATTTAATTTCAGACTTGACTATTGTGTTCTTATTTAATATCAATAATACATTAAATATATATTTGATAATTTATAGTAGCCTTTATTGATTTAATATATTTTTTTATTAGTTATATCAAAACTTGATAGAAATGTTCATATATTGTACATTTTCTATTTCAGGAATATTTATCTCGGAGAAATATTTTCTTGTTACATGAGCGTTCATAATGACAGTAATATGCCTGTTTGTGATGTTTCGGTAAAAGTAAGTAGTGCAATACATAAAAAATTTTTTAAATTTAGAAATTATAAATTAATTTCAATTCAGTATCAAACTTTATGGATTTAATTGAATATTTTAATGCTTTGAAAAAGTATAAAGAAACTGAAAGTAGAAAAACCATTAAATAAAACATACACCTTAACATACTTCACCACAGTTTAATAANCTAAATAAAAATAAATTTAGATCATTTCATGCTTTTATTATGCTTTAAAATAACAAATGCATGATAATTTTAATATTACTAATGCTTTGTCTTGGGGCTGTTGTTTTTTTAAAAATTATAATGTTTGATTAAAATACTTTTTTCTTTTTTTGCCAAATGTGATCTGACCCGACTGTTTGCATGTATACAGGACTATATCGTAAGTTCCATTAACATATTTTCATCTCTTGCTTTGTGTATTTTAATAACCCAATCTGAACTGTAACAATTTTAATTTTGTGAATACAAATGGCATGCACACTGTAATTTTTATCTCTACTGTAACAAATGTATCTATTGCTTGCATGATTGTTATATGTTACAGGATTAAAAGAAACCAAAATATCCGATCATTTTTTATAATAATGGTGTTTTTAAAACAGTTAATTTATAAAAGGACAAAAACTGAATATTTATAATATATAGTTATACAAAATAGCTGAACTTAAAAAAAGAAAAAACTTGACAAACTATAATTACATGTGTATACATTTATTTATCAGTGACGAAGGTGATTGTAAAGGAGATTAATTCAGTAATTTTGCTTGAATTTTGTATTTGAATAAATTAAAAGTTGTATGCTTAAATAATATGACATATAATAATTGCATTTAATCTAAAATATCAGTTATTTTACATAATGCATGTTTGGATGTTAAAAATTTTTCTTTTTTGAAAATTTTATAATTTCAGAATGTATTAATGTTTGTGAGTTGGAAAAGTTACAGAACAGTTAATACTCATTAAGTAATGTAAATAATATGTCCATTACATTTTAAAATGTTACAAAACATTACAAGATTAAATTTTTGCAACTGATATAAAAAATTTTTGTATCAAAGTTGTTGCAGTAAATGAAAATCGTAACATATATAAATAAATAATTTAAATAATTTATGAATCTTATAAATATACTAGCTGCAAGATCCCGCTTTGCTGGGTTTTTATTTGTATGTAATAGTATAGTTTTTTTTATATATATAAAAGACTGTTTTTCTAAGTAATCTAGAATCTAGCTGCAAGGACCCGCTTCGCTGGGCAAAAAGTAACGATAGTGAAGATTAAGATAATTACATTATAGCTAATCTTACCCGTTTTCACAAAATGCAAGAATTAGGTCCCCCGTTTCCAGACTAATTAGAGAATTTTTACGTTTAGTCAAACGAACAAATTTCAACGTTTCTGGAACGTTTTCAATCGTTCTATAATCGAACCAATTCGAATTTTATGTTCGAATTTAATTCGAACAAATTCGAAAAAATCGAACAAAACATTCGAAATAGAAAGCCACTTTCAACCACTTTCAGCCTCATATCTCCCGCACCCTTATAGCTATCGAGACGCAACCACCCCTATGCACGAATGGAGACTTGGGGCTACCACCACATACAAACACCATTCACGTGCGATGTGTAGTTTTGGCGAAAAAGTGAAATATAGGGACATACATGTCCATTTTTATATATATATATATATATAGATTAATATTTCAATATAAATAGGAAACTATTAGATTAATATATGAACACTATTATATACTATTGCTGATAGAAGAATCTTGCAGATGAAATTTCTTAATCTAGTCACTTGATTAGTATCTTCCGTAAGCAAAGTTTTAATTGAAAACTTTGGATTTTTACCAAAAAAATATGTCATTTATAATTCTTATTTAATGGTTAAGTAATATCATTAATAATTGATATTATGAATCTAAAACTAATAAATTTTCTTATAATTTCTTTTAAATATTGAAATCTAAAGTAAATAAAATTTGTTTTTGAATAATCAGTTTCTCAATGGCAGAAATCTTTAAGTAAAAAACAGTTGCAAATATATAGTATGATAAGTTTGCATGCTATGTGATTTATTTGAACTAGATATACAGAAAAGTTGATACTCATTAAGTAATGTAAATATCTGTCCATTAAAATTTCTCATTAAAATTATAGTAAATTATACTTAATATTTTGGTATACAAAATCTATTTCAGATTTTTTTTTGAATGAACAATTAACTCAGTAATAGAATGTTTAAAGCTGTCTGAATTTTATCCAGATTTGGATTCAATCTCGATTATAAATAATGGCCAGTCTCATTGCAAATAAAACCCATTGGTTATGTGCAAAATGGTATTATATTAATTAATTATATAACCTTAATGTGCTGATGTCACACACTGACAAATTAATCTGAATTTCCAAATTAAGCAATTACTGTTATCCATTTTTCTCCTCTGTTTTCTGCTGTTTTTAATAATGTTTATTCAGCTTTGCCTAGGTTTTTTTCACTTGTGTTGGTTAAAAATAAATAACAAAGTTGTAAAAGTAGAAAATTTCTTTTCAGTTTGCTTATCATTACTTGATGATTTTATCTAAAGAATGGTTGAATATATTAATATATTTAATTAATAAGAACCATAATGTCAATATTTTTTCATGTCCTATATTGCACTGTGAATTTTTATAAAAATTCCATTGCACAATGAATTATGATTGACCTTATGGATAAATTTGAATTTGTATAATTAAGAAACTAGCAACAATATGTAATATGTATAAATTAAGTAAAATCAGTGATGTAGACAAAAGCAATATTTTATTTTTAAAATGCTTATTGAATTTTGTTTTAAATACATGACTTTATTTTAACAGTCAGATGAAGTTTACTTAGAAGCTCAACTACAGAATATAACATCAAATCCCATTTGTCTTGAAAGAGTGTCTTTAGAACCTTCCTCTTATTTTACAGCTATGCAGTTAAATTTTATTGGTGATAAAGATGGGTAATGTATTATTTTTTAAATTAATATTATACAGTAAATAACACATTACGATCTAGCTGATCCAAAATTGTTTTTTTGATTACAATTCAATCTATAATTTAAGTTAATGAGAATATTGTTTGAATTTTACATTTATGATACAGTATGATATACAACTTAAAGTGAATGCAATGTATTGGTTTGTTTGGAAAGTTTGTAGCAAGATTTGACAAAAATTCAAAGCAATATGTTTGTACTGAATTAGCATTATATATATAGTCATAAGCAAATTGGAAAACCTGGCTCATTGTTCGAGTGCAACTTTAAATAATTGAGAAAGTACACTCATTCAGTCTAATTTCATCCATGCTTATTGTAATACATCAAAGACAATTTTCTTAAAAATGAAAAATTATGTTATGCTGTATTATTTTAAAGTTACTTTACAATAATAATTATTCACTTTTGTATCACTATTAGGTTATCTACTATATAAAACTGAAAAAAATGGCCAGTCTCTGTTGGCGTATCGAGCACCAGCAAAGCATAGCAGCCAACCTAGGAATTGCCAGAGTCCGTGCTTGACACTTTTTGATGGTATTCAGCACACTGCTTGCTGTGTTATTTAAAAAGAATTGGATATAGTGATGTAGGTCATAGTGCATGACAATGATAGTTATGGGCAGTTCACTTTCAACAGTGTTCTGCTGAATGTCTCTGCACTTTAAATAATTAATTACAAATGGTTTACCTATCATTGCTATGCATGCTTAATTAACTATTTAGTATGCCCCGATGCCTGCATTGGGCCTTTCAACTGGTTAATAAAATAACTGTGATATGGCAATGAATAATTTTCAATATAACACTGTTACTCTATTAATTTTTTTCTTCAGTATTATTTATTGTTGAAAAATACTGATTTAAAATTTTCACTTAGGGCACAAACATTCTGTTTATTTATTTGTACACAATGAACTGCAATGATATTTTGATGTGCACTATTTTTTTACATTACACTTGTAACTGGCAATTCCCAATCCTTCAAACTTTGATTCTTTTGCTACAGCTTAATGTAGAGATACATGTTCTTCTGGGATATCTTTAAGAATTTGAATACCAGAAATCTGGAAGTCACTTCTATTGAATCAGATCTTCATCAAATTGGAACAAAGGGTGGCAATTAACATAATTTTTTGTATTGAGAATGCTTGCACTGTTTTTAAAACTCTGTTACAGAGAAGACTCATTACAATTGTAAAGTACTATATTATTTTTCCGACTTTCCAACGATTATCGACACTACTGTGTGCCGGAAATAGCCGTTCCCTAACGGGTACTTTACGCGGATTCGCGTTAGTGTGCCAGGCCTGGACTTTAAGCGTGCACCGAATTAAATAATGACAAAGTTTGTCAATAACAAAATCAAATATTTAATTAAACTTCTATTAATAAACTCTATACAGTATTTAGTAAAAATCAAACAATAATTTATTCAATGAAATTCAACAAGAATCAATCCGACAAACTCAAATCAATCTATTTCTAACTTAATTCTATTCCCCTTTGGAATTCGACAAAATCAAAGAATTAACTTATAAACAATAATTCTTATAAATTAAAGATCCTAATCGTCACCTCAATATACTAGGAACCTATTTCCTCAAACTCTCAAGACTTTCTATAATCGTCGATCCACAAATCGAATAACTTCAAAATCCTATCGGACACCTCTCTCGTTCACTGCTACGAAGCTCACCAAAGCTCGTTGCTATCAGGAATTCACCTCGTTCGTTTTCACTTGAGTTAGAGGCTTTATAGTGTGAGGTGACGTCACAATTCTGAATGAGCTCACTCTCCTCATTTACATACTTATCTGTAACATTAAATTTTTCTTGTTTATCTGGCAGATTATTTTCCGACAATACTTCGCTAACCTTTTACATTATTCTTTTTAACAATTATTGGGATGCTTTATTCTTTTAAGGTTTAGCAATTCCTAACTGGGTTGTGGGGTCTTCCCCCCCCTTTTTCGTCGGTGTGGACTTACTTTTTTCCGCTCGGGAAGCGCAAGTGTGCGCGAGTTTTTCTACGGCGCTTTTCTTTCGTCGGTGAGTTGGTTTTTCTTCTATTTTTAAGTTACTAAGGTGAATGGTGAGGAAACCTTCGTCTTAACTAAACATAAGCCCCAAACAAAATATAATGAAAGCAAAATAAAAGTAAAGCTCAGACTTAGTTCCTTACACCATTATATAAGTGACATTAGTCTAAATAGCAAATACATAACGATTTTTTAATTTGTCATTTTAATTTCATTGTAAAATAATCCAGATTTTCAATTTGCCTATGATATATACATTGTTTGTTTCAATGACGTTTTTGACTTAATTTTAATACTCTACCATTTGTTTTGATCTTTACAAAACTAATCAGAGTGCACTTTATCCACTGAATAGTGGGTAAAGTAACATTTGCTGGTTCCTTGTTAATCAATTCTGAACATTTTTGTTTAATAGCTTTATTTAAATGATTTGGTGAGATTGGAAGAGGATTGTTTGCCGGAAGTTCATAATAAACAATCCTCTTCCAATCTTACCAAATACACAGCATAACTTTCTTTGGATGAAATCTGGCTTTTGAAGTGGATGGGGAAAGCAAGATGAGTTGTGGCTAAGATCTTATTTGTTCAACATTTTTGTATAGAATCCCCTTAAAATGCAACAAAAATAAGCCACTTTTAAAGAACAAATCATATACTTAGCAGAATATGACTTAGACAAGGTCCATCAAATGTTTTTCTGTTAACTGTCCATGATGGCAGCACCGTGATTTGCAAATAACACAGAACAAAAATTTGTGAAGCTGCAAACAAAACTTTTTGTTCTCGCAGATGACACTATCCGTGCTTCAATCCATCACCCCAGTAACAACGTCAATATGTTAAATAGTTTAATTAGTGATGTGGTTTCTAAATCTCTTGCTGATAGTGTAGATCGCATAAAACAGGAGGTTTCCAAGAAGGTCGGCTTTTTAATTGATAGTGTGAAACCACCGGAAGGGGGGGTAGGTCTCCCGATCCGGCAACAGGTTGTTAAACCCTTTCACTGTCAGGATGGGTGGAAAGAGTCTTTTTCCCGCAGTAATGGGCTTTAATGTTTCGGGTCGAGTGGCGGAGGGAGGAGCGCATCGGTGAGACGACAGGCGATATACGAGTAAACGAGGAGGCCAGATATAATATAAGGAAAATTAACAATTTATTAACACAAGTTTCGGGTAATACAACGTCTAGTTTGTGTCCCTAAACCGCGGAGAGACCGAGAGAGAGCTTACAATAATTGGTTCCATACCTCTTGATCTGTTATCCACGCTTGATCTGTTATCCACGCATTTGAATTAGGAAAATTTCACTGGCTAGGAAAGTTCACTGATGTAGGAAAGGTCACTGGTTAAAATTTTAAATCCTGGATTTAGGAAAGTTAACCGGTTAAAACGGACACTATTTGAAATTTATCTTCTTTCGGCACCTGCTCTGGTACGACTCCCCCGAGAAGGGGAAGGAAGGGGTTTTTATAAGTTCGGCGTGGGAGAATGGTCACGTGATTGATTGTTGTGAGGTAAAAGGTACGCAGATGGGTCAGAGTTGTTCCCGGGACCATGCTAACTATCAACTTTGGCGTTGGAATGTGGGATTAGTTTCGAATTGAACGGATGTTTATGTCGAACATAAACGAAAAGTTTTTTTTCCATTAGGTTTCACTTTAAGTTAAAGGAAAATTTAATTAGATTTTAAGCAAATACAGGACAATTAATCGACAAATAGTCGGTAAAATAATCGGTAAAAATTCCGAATCTCACAATAGTAAAGTAAACAAAATTCTGGACAGCACAAAATCCACTGTTTCAAATAGTTTACTGACCTACTTTTATGCAGGTGCTGCTAGGACAAACACAATAAACACTAAAATCATACAAAAACTGTACAAAAATAAACTGGGTCCAGTGCTGGCATGCATGCAGTATTAGTCTTCCAAAAAGAAAACATTAGTATCAGCCAGGACAATATTAGACAGGCATTCATGACAAATATAAAACCAAGCCAAGTAGGGATCTCTGGTTAAGGCTATTAGAAAAATTAGGAACAACAGAGTTTGCATACAACTGAACACAATAAAATGATGGCAGCTATTAATTCATTTAATACGTTAACAGATTAGATACTCAGCAGCCAAACAACCAAATTTCTAACCTAAGGTTTTTCTGTTAATGCTCTCTCCTTATTCATACTCCCACTGTTCATGAAACTGACTTTATCAGATTATTAATAGTGTAAGGCTCTGGGAGAATGATAGTCATGTTTAATGACTGGAAAATCTTCCCAGCTCAGGACCCTGCTATTACATCAAGACTGGTATTATAATTAAGAACAAAAACACCACTGCCCAAATTGTTTTCCAGCACACCACTGAATACATTACCAATGTCTGTGTTACTGACACTAACACTCATCATTACATATGTTCTGTTTATATTCCAGACACCACTGACATTGAGACAGCCATAGAAGACATTCACCACCTTACTGAACTCATACAAAGATAATCCTATCCTAATAGGAGGTGATTCCAATAGATGACCTTAGGGGTACTGTAGTTAACAGGACACAGCCTAACACAACCATACTCATTTTAATGCAAGCATCCTTCCAACTAACTCCTGTTCCACAAAGGAAATTGGATTAACCTAATGTTAGGAAACAATCATATCAATTCTAGGGTCAACCACTGTTACACTATTTTCATTCAACTGAACATCTCTAATAATACTTCTAAGCATAGTTTTCACTATACTCACATGAACTGGCAGTTATTCTGCAACACCTTCAATAACATTTGGGCTGGCGCTCCTCACCACAATCACTATACTCAGAATACTTTAGACCACCTTGTCACTAGGCTGTCTAATACAATCACTAATTATTACATCATTGCCTCCAAGCATAGTAAACACAAAAAGGTTCCTTG